ATTTTTTGGCGACAAAAAAATTCCGACAGTGGCACCTCGACCGGCGGCCTTCCGATACCTCACCATCCCTCGTTGCCTTAGTTCAGAGACAAAGTCTCCGTAGGCAAGAGGGCTGTTCTTCAAAATCGGATCGGTGTAGGGGCCGTTCGGGCACTGTTCCGCACGCAGCAAATCCGCGGCAGCGGGCGATCTTAGCATATGATCGCGCCAAAGGCCGAGCCACTTCGAGTCGGCCTGCGCGAGGCAGTCAGAGAGCAGAGCTGGAGCGTTGCCACGCGCAGGCCAAGAGACCTTGCTCTTGACATACGGCCGTTGGGTGGAGGCCTCCTCAGAGTAGAGGCCTGACCCAGCAAAGAGCGCGTCGAGGGCTCCCTTGCGAAACTCAGGGTCGCCAGGCGGCGGCGGCACGCTGAGGTAAGCCGCCTCAATGTTCCGAAGAGCCGCAGCCTGGCCGGCATTCCGCACCGAAGACGACGGGGTGCTGAAGCCAAAAAGTTCATTAAGGCAGGTAGTGCCGTCTGAGGCCCAGTCCAAAGCACGCGAGGTGCGTGCGAGCCTGCGAAAGGTGCCGCGAGAGAGCGACGCACCGGAACGCAGGCTGCCGTGGCAGTGAGGAAGAGGAAAAGGAAAAATGTCTCTGTGCCGTCCAGGGCACTGCAAGCCTGCCTCAGTGCAGCTAATCAGCTCGAGCGCGCGCGCCAGCCGAAAGCGGGGCTGGCGGGGGTGGCATCACCCCTGTGTCACACTCCGACCCTCACTCCCATCAGGCTCATGCACGTCTTCGTCCACGTCAGCTCCCTCGCCAATCTGCTGCTCGTCCGCCGTCTCGGGAGCGAGAGCGCCGGTCCCACCAGCGTCCGCACTGCCCTCGTCATCACGGGCGGGCTGCTCTACGCCGGCCGCGGCCGATGGCTGGGCGCCTGGACGCGCGTCGGCGCTGGCCCCTGGCGGCGCGTCGACACCCAGCTCAGCGATGGTGTCGAAATACAACACCGACGCCCTCGGAGCCACAGGATGGCCGTTCAGTGCGAGTCCGAAGCCCTCCTCCACCACGAGCGCGACATCCTGCTGCGGCTCCGGGTCTGACTCGTTCATCTCGTCGTCGGCGTTGCCACCGATGGGCCCCGCCCACACCACGCCATACTGGTCGAAGACAGCGGCAAGAGGCCCATCTTGAGCCGGCGCGACCGGCGGCTCGACGAGGTCGGGGTGCTCGTCGCCCGAGTGGAAGCCAACCTCCGACGGGACCTGCTCCTCATCCACGACCTCGTCCTCGTCGTCGAGCTCCGAATCGCTGTCCGGGTTGCGCGTCCCGCACTGGAAACATTCCAGTCCGGCCCGATTGGGCGTGAGACACCCGCTGCACACCCAGCCGAGCAGGGAATCGCCGGGGGCGTCCCCGCGGCCCGCCCCGCCGCGCACCTTCCTCGTGGCGATGACATCGGTGTCCTCGCCGACGCCCAGCACGCGGAGCGTCTGCCCGTCCTGGAGCAAACGGCTGCGGCAGGTGAGGACCACATCCTCGGGAGGCGTGCTAGTCGCCCCGCCCACCTGTCCACGAAGGACTAAGACATCGCTGTCGAGCGTCACCACGAAGTACCGGAGGCGCACTGGCGCATCTAGAAAGCTGCGGACAGCAACCACCGGATGGTCACCATGGTATGCTCCCCCTGGGCCGGCAGGCTGAGCAGCAATCGCCGGCGATGCGCTGGGGCGCGCGCCTGCGGAAGAGGCTGCAGCCGAGCTGACGACGTAGGCGCCGGGCGCGGGCACCTGCCCCCACAGGTCGGCACAAGACACCACCGCGGGAACCACTTCCCACTCCCCAGCGACGGGTGGCGAACCAGCAGGCGCAGTGAACGAAACTGTCGCACCCGCACGGCTACGCAAGGCCAACTGCGCGTGAAGCGTGTCGACCTCCTCGTCGCCGAGCGCGACTTCGCCGTCCTCGTCCGGCATGATGTCGTCGCCGTGCTCCTCGCGCCGCTCGATCTCGATGACGGCCTCGATGATGCCCTCCACGTCTTCAGCTGGCCACCGGTGGTGCGGGCCGGACATGATGTCAAGCTTCAAGACCGGAAAGCGTCAAGCGAGCCACACCACCGCGACGCCGTCAGGACCGCCCAGCAGAGGTCGGGCGTGCCAATCGCGCCCGAAGAAGGTACTGGCGGGGAGCAGTCGAGCAGACAGACTCAGAGCGCGCAGCCTGAATGAAAGGGGGCCTGGGCCTGCTTGAGCCTTGAGGATTACGGAACAGTGTTCCTGCGGCCAGTTGCGACACTACTCGGCTTAAAGTGGTGAACACAACCATACATACATATATACATGTGTATATATATGTGTGTGTGTGTACACCAATGTGTGTATATACATCTGTAAATATACATATGCAACTAAGAATACATGATACCGGAGAAACAACAATCATAATCGTTGTAGGGCTGTGGGGCTATAGGGCTATATGGGCTATAGGGCTATTGGGCTATAGGGTAATAGAGCTACAGGGCCATAGGGCTATAGTGTATAGGGGAATAGGGCTATAGAGCTATAGGGCTCTAGGGCTATAGGGCTATTGAGCTATAGGGCTATAGGGCTATAGGGCTATAGAGCTATAGAGCTGTAGGGCCATAGAGCTCTAGGGCTATTGGGCTATAAGGCTATAGGACTATAGGGCATCCCCGGGCACCCGGGCACCCCTGGGCACCCGGGCACCCCCGGGCACGCGGGCGTGCGGCGAAAATCGGCGGCAAACCTATGCTAACCATATGAATCCGCTAGGACTCCTACAGAGGCAAGCTCTGACTGGGGAAGTAGGCATACATACGCAACTATGCATACACTAGGCTGTACAATCAAAAACCCTAATAAGGACGCGCGGTAAGGACGCAAGACCCTTGGAAGCCGAAGTTGGGATTTTTGGGGCGGCGGACGACGAGAACCTCAAGGACGCAAGAGCAAGGAAGAGCAAGGACGCAAGGGTACCCTGAGCAAAGTCGCGCGTCCCTACTAGGGGTTTTCGAAGGTAGGCTGTACCACCACCCCCGACGGAACTGGGCCCGTCCGCCGCCCCGCAGCACCGTTCCCGTCCGCCGCCACACCGTTGTCCCCGCCGGGAGGCCGGCTTGCCGCCCCGAAGGCCCCGCTCCCGCCCGCCGACGCCGCAACGTGGCACCCTTCCCCACTGCATCGCATTGCAGTCGCGTTGTGCTGAAACCACACTGCATCGCACTGCAGTCGCACTGGATTAGCTACTTGAAGCAGAAAAAAACCGCATAAACAGTAATGTTTGGCGCTCCACGCGGATTCCTTGGATCCGCGCGCCCCCCCCCCCCCCACCGGCGCCTCCAGCGCCGCCGCTGGCGCGCTCCGCGCGCCAATGAGGGGGGTCCAGCGGAGATCTAAGACATCCGCGCGGAGCCCTACAAAGGTTTATGGTTGCACGGCTTTCTCTTCTTCTAATTACTGCGCATTGCTTTGCAAACGCATTGCATTGCAATGCAATCGCAATGCAATCGTACTGCAGCGCATTGGTTTGGCAGCCTGGGCTCCAGGGCGTGTTCTCGCATGACTCTTTCGGAGACGAGAGGGCCCCAAGACGGGCCAAGAGGGCTCCAGAAGGCACCCAAAGCGCTCCAAGAGGGCCCCGGATCGCCGCACGGCAGGGCCAAAAAGCACAAGATGGCCCCAAGACGGCCCAAAGAGCACTCAAGGCGACTAAAGATAGCCCCAAGAGCCTTCCCTAGAGGGCGAGTGCGCCGAGCGGCCAACACTGTTTCATAGTTTTGGGATTCTCCACTTTTCGACTGGCCTTGCACGGACCAGGAGGCCCCCAAGAGGCCCCGAAGACGGCCCAAGAGGGCCCAAAGACGGCGCAAGAGGCGCCCAGGACGGCCCCAAGACTGCCCCAAGAAGGCCCCACGAGGGGGAACACGAGCCGAAAAGCCGAGCCCTCCGCCTCAGGGGGCGCCTGGGAAGCCCCACGAGTCCACCAAGAGGCCCCCACGAGGTACCCACGAGGCAGCAAGAGACCCCCAAGAGGCCCAAAACAGCCTCCCCAGAGGCCTCACAACTGCCTCCAGGAGCCCCCGAGAGGCCTCGACGAGACCCCAACGACCACCCACGAGGCTCAGACGCACAACCCAGGCACGTCGGCGGGATGGGCCGAAGGCCATTAGTTATAATGTGCAGAGACAACACTAATACACGGTTCTCGTTAAAAACGGGAACTTCGCGTCAGACTTCCGAAAACGCGCGTGGCGAGAGAAGTACATAATCGTGCAGCAGCTTCACAAATAGAGGGCGGCTCGTTTGAAACCAAGACTTTCGATCGAGCCTTCCGAACACACCATGAGCCGTCATTTCTGTGAAGCGGCGCGATCGTTACAGGAACGAACACCTCCCTTTCAAAACGGGGCACCCGCGCAAGCCGGTCCAAACAAAAACGTCATGACCACAACGTGCACAACAATGACACGAGAACACGTCGGCGGAAGCCGGGCGGCCGCTTCCCGAACGAAAAGGGGCTCCCGAACTCCATGGTTAGAGGCCTCCCAAAGAAGGTCCGAGCAGAGGGGGGCGGAAAGTCGCGCCGCACCGCCGCTGCATCGCCGATGCATCGGCCGTGCATCGGCGATGCCACATCGAGCCGCATGATCGATCCATCGACGATGCGCGGCGATCCTCCGACCCCATCCACTCCGACACCCTCTGGGGCGCCTAGAACTGGCCATCGCTCGGACGTCCATTTCCTGTGTTTTTTTTTCCGGTTTCGTGCGTGGTTTTTTCGCGAAATGATCAAGGATGCTCCTCGATGGTCCTCGCCGAAGGAAAAATGCACACGTCCGAGCGATGCCAAGAGAATGTTCCATCTCTCCGCACGCCAGCTTGGCGCAGCTGCCAGGGCCGCCAGACTGATAATCCGGGCAACCCGTGGTTGCGCTCCATCCTCCCTGCGCCCGCTCGTCCTCGCCACTGCCACCTCTTCGCCAGGCCAAGATGGCTGCCACACGATGGCGATGATGGCGGGTTCCCTTTTTTGGGCGAGCTGGCACACGGACCGGCACACACGCAGGAGCAAGCCTGGCCAAGAAGACGCCAGATCCCGACGGAGCCTGAGCTTCCGCCCCTGCGCGGGCCTGAGATGTCCAGGACGAGGTCGATGACGGGCTGCAGATCCAGATCCTGCCCTGGGCCGAGCTCCTCGTTGCTCAGAAGCAGGTCGAAGGTCTCCTCGTACTGCTGCAGCTGAGAGCCCCTGGACAACGCGTTGAACAGCCCGAGCCGCACCGCCTCCGAAAGCCCAGCCAAGCGCACGAGGGGCTCGCAGTCCTTCAAGCCGTCGCCCACGACGAGGGCATACGGCCGGGCCACCCGCGCGAAGTTCGACGATCCTCAGAACGCGCGCCAGTACCAACGAATGCTTGCTCACCGAAGCAAACACCAGGCGACAAAACGAAGGCCGACGCAGGCTACATGCCATCGGCGCAGGGTGACGGGCTCCAAACGAAGTGGGCTAACGCACGTCCTGAGGACCATCGAGAAGTACTCGGCCTCCCATTCGCCGACCAGGTGCTTGTTGTCCGAGGTGACCATGGGCTCCTCGAAGCCGCACAGGCAGCCGTCGGCCCCGAAGACCATCCCGTTCGCGCGCACGCGCAGCTGCGCGACGTCCACGCCCTCGCGGCCCAGCGCCTCCACGATCAGCTCCCGGATGCCGGCCGAGACCACCAGCACCGGCACGCCGAGGCGGCGCGCGAGGGAGATGAGCTCGGCGCAGCCCGCCCGGCAGCGCAGGCCGGAGGAGGTCACCATCTCTGGGGCGGGAGGGCTCCGACTGCACACCTGCCTCCGTCTGGCATGGGATGGGCGGGGAGACACAGAGCTCGGACTTGGGGCACTCGGACTGGCCGAGCGGGGCACTCGTGAAATGACAGGGCTCCGCCCAGAACCGGACGCGAGCTCCTGCTCAGACCATGCCACGACAACCGAACCGTCAACAGTGCACGCTGGGACCGCCGAAAACAAGCGGCAAACCCTGATTCTGGCGAACTCGAGTCTCACGCTTTCCCGGAACAGGCGGGCCCTGAAGAGAAACGAGTCATGGACCCTGGAGTCTTTCCCTGGGTCCAACTCTCCGTCGAGAGCCGTTCTCTTGCAGGGGCCGGGCCTGTGGAGAGCTCCGAATGCCCAGAAAATGGGGAGAGCCTGTTTCAAGGGACAACAAAAAAAGCATACACGTAAACTGCCCGAGTTCCGCGCGGATTTCTTGGAACTGCGCTGGAGCACCCTGGCGGCGCCTCTGGCGCAGTCTGCGCGCGGCGATTGGTGGCGACGAAAATCGCGTTGTGGCTCCCAGCGGGGGTGGCGCCCCCCCGGACATACTCCGAGTCACGACGTGGACACTGCTCGGTGACAACGCGCAGACCGTTCAATCTCGAACGATGCCCGCTATGCACCCGACAGCACAGACCGTTGAGGATTGGCCTGGTTCAGGCCGCCGGTGGCCTTCCACCGAAAATTGCAAACTTTTTCTGTCGGCGGCGAGGAAGAGTTGGCTGCACCAGCGCTAGAGCTGAACGGGGGCACCGAGAAGCGCATTGGCCAGCATGCAAGAGAGGGGAACGAGACGGACAGGGCGGCCGCGGAGGAGGGAGGATAACCAGCCTCGAACGTATCCCTATCCCTAAGATGGGCGAGCAAAAAGCGAGGACAATCTTAGGGATAGGCCCTCGGAAACTGAGGGAATCCTTAAGATCGGCATCGAAGTGAGGTGATGTCAAACATGGGGACAGGGATATGGTTCAAACTGGTAAGAGGAGGGGGCCCTCAGAGGCGGAAGACGTCCGACCTGAGCGCGCTGGCGCGGCCAGCCTCGTCGGCGGGGACCGTGGCAGCAGCTGGGCCGCAGCGTCGGGGCAGCCACGAACGGTGACGCACACGACGACACAGACCGTCGAGAACTGGCCCGGTTCAGGCCGCCCAGGGGCCTTGCACCGAAAACTGCACAAGCATAGAACTGTCGGAGGTCCGCGCGGATTGTCTCGGGTCGGCGCTGGGCCCCCCCTTCCTGGAGCCGCCCAGGGAGGGGCCCCGCGCGTATCCAAGAACACCCGCGCGGAACTCCAAAAGTTGTTCAAGTCAGTTTTGTGCGTGTGCTTCTTTCTTCTTCGATGCAGCGTGTTGTTAGTTTTGCGCGCTTGCTCGCTCGTTGGACTCGGCCCTGCACGCCCGCGCCTTCGTCGCCACCGCGCCCGTCGACGCGGCGAAGGCGCGCCGTGCTCGGCGGAGGGCCAGACTGGCCAGGGCCAGGGGGGTCGGCCTTCGCACGAGAGACAGGAAGGAGGTCCCTTCCGAGAAGGCCGCCGCTGTCGCGCTGGCCCGGACAACCATAGAGGGGCCCCAGAACGCACAAATCAATGGCTAGACACAAAAACCAGGATCCCCCATGCTTCTCCATGTTTGCTGGGTGTTCGTCCTCCCCCCACTTCCCATGTTTCCCCATATTTTCCTGGGAGTTGACGATTTATCGTGTCTGGGTTTTTTCCCCTCCTCAGAGAGGCCGCCGCTTTCGCGCCGGCGCGGGCAAATAGGGCGTGCACGATGGTCGTGGGCCCACGACTGCGCTGAGCAGGATCGGCGAAGGCCTCAAGGTGTGCACGTTGGCACCTCCCGATGGGATCCACTCCTCTCGGAGGCCGTGCGAGATCCGCCGGCCCCGGGGCTGGGGAGCAACGACTGAAGGGCTGCTGGTCGTCGTGAGAACGAGCAAGGGCGACGGAGCTTGGAAAATCCAAGATCGCCAGGGATCCGTTGTCCCCCAAACCGATCGAACCCCTCCCGAACCGTTCCCGGAGCCCTCCAACAACAACCCTTTTGGAACCCTTTTGTTGGGGGTGAGTCGGATGGTTTCGGGAAGGCTTCGGCCGTTTTGAAGGAGAACCAGTCCTAAGCGAACCTAGAACCTTCTACGTAAGCCCGATTACGCGACCATGAAGCCAAATTGAGCCTAAATCCCGGGATTCAGCCCGATGAAGCCAGATCAAGCGGGATTAAGCAGGGGGCTTGGCGGGATGATACCAGATTGGACCGGTCTTTGGCCGCGGATATACCAGCGCCAGTTGTTGAATTCCACCAGCCCTCTGGGCGAAGCTGTTATAACGAACAGTTTTCTCTCTGCCCACAAGAACCTTCTCCTCCTCCCCCTCGTCTTCCTATTCCTGCTGTTCCCCTTCCTCATCCTCCTCCTCCTTCTCGTCCTCTTCATGCTCCTTCTCGTCCTCCTCCTCCTCCCCGTCCTCCCTCCCCTCCTCGGTGTTCATTACCTCCTTCTCAACCTTATCCTCCTCCTCCTCCTCCTCCCCATTCTCTTCCTCCTCCTCCTCCTCCTCCTACACCTGCTGCTCCTCCTCGTTTGAAATCCTCCTTCCATCCGCACCCATCCTCCTCCCCCTCCCCCTCCTCCTCCTCCTCCTCCTTCTCCTCCTCCTCCTCCTCCTCCTCCTCCTCCACCACCTCCTCCTCCTCCTGTTTCTCCTCCTCCCGCCTCCTCCTCGTGTTCTTCTCCTCCTCGTCTTTGTCCTCGCCATTTGTTCCTGCTCGCGCCCCACAACCTCGCACCCCCTCCCCTTCCGCGCGCGCAGGGGTGGGGGGGGGGCGACGAAGCGGGGCCTGGAGCGAGTGGCGCGGTTGTCAAAATTCTCCCTCGACCCAGGTTGACGGCCATCTGGAGAACGCTTGTCCTGCGAACGTTGCCGGCACGGTAAAGACTGCCAGTAATCTAATTACTTTCTTGGTGAAGTCCGAATGCGGGCGTTCCAAGGCTGCCCAGGACCTCCATCCGCCTGCAAGAAACTCCTGGAACATCTGCAGGCCGTTCAATGCCACTTCGTTTCGTGAATCGTCCTCGCGCGGGCGCCAAAGCATTTTGCGATCAACGTACTGGCTAGCGCGAGGGCATACGACGACGATTTCCACTAGCGGGATCCCAAAACATCTGTCATCGCCAAGAATCCGTTTTCTCCGTCGACTAGCACGGTCGGCCGACGAGATGGCGGAACACACGTTCCGAGAAGGCACACGGAACGCGACTACTGATCGGCGCAGGCCCAGGTGCAAACCGAGAGACGCCTCTATCCCAGGAGGCATCGCAGGAGCAAAAAACGTGGAACCCGGCCGATGCACAGTGCGCGCATGGTGCATTTGTGGTGTATTGTTGGTATTTTCGTGCATTTAAGGTGTATGGTCGGTGCACTTTGTGGTGTAAGTTCTGTTGCGCATTTTCAAGCTCATCACCTGAAGTCCACTCCCGGGAAAGTTTCCAATCCCCGAAGGGGGTTCCGGAACGACAAAGATCACTTCATTTCTTCATCCCACGCGTACCTCTTGCATGGAATCTCCGGGGCCGCCCGGCGCGCGACAGAGGCGCTCGGAGGTAATCGCTGTGTATTTGTTGCGTACGTGTCATGGTCTGATGTGCAGTTGTGGCGCAAGCAAGACTGACCAGCAGATGCGGCGCAAGCCCAAACAATCATGAGCTCGTGGCTCCGCCTCCACCATGTCGTCATGCTCCAGGAGCCCTCCGCGAGACCATTCGCCTGGTCGTCCCAGATCTGCCTGTAGTCCCTACGAAAGGTCTCGGGCATCCTGTGGAAGCGCTCCACCACGTCGTGGCACATGGGCATCTTCTCCTTAGCATCGAGGGGATCGTCTTCCCAAACCCAGCTCAGCCCATATGAAAGACCAACGCCCGAGCTGCGAGCGGCTCCCGAATCAACACAGCGAAACTCAAGCCTCGCAGGATCCTGCCGGACCCGGTGCCCTGAATGAGGCCCACCTGTGCTGAGCTCCTTGACCTGCCCGCTGATCAGGGAAACTGGCCCTGGATCCTAAGGCTTGCCCCAAGACCAACCTCCCATCCCGAGCCCCCTTCCCTCTGGACCGCTCTGGCTCCCAGACCTCTGGAGTCTTGACACTCATCAAGACAAACTTCCCGGATCTCTGGACCGCTTCCTGGAGACAGGTTTTTCGTCCCGGACCGTTTCTTTGGCTTGCGGCTCACCCCTTCTCGGGTGACAGGCATCTCCTGGGGCGAGCCCTGACCAAAAATTCGGGGCGAACCCAATCGTGGCGAAGAGGGAAGAAAAACCAGCATTGGCATCCCCGCCGACATGATTGCTTCAGTTCGTGGCCCCAGAATCCCGCCCTCTTCTCCGAGGTGCTTTTTCGTCGCAGGTTCATTCGTGATTGTCCTTCCCCCTCATGATTCCAAATCTTCTGCCCTGACCTTCCGCCTAATTTTCGATATGATCAATAAGGGCTCCCTTGAATTGCGCGAGGTTTTCATGAATTTCGATGAAGTCTTCCGCAATTTCCGCGGAGATCGGAAGGTATGGAAGGTGGAAGGGGAGGGCTCCCCAATGTAATATTTCGCCCCAGATCCATCCTTCATTATCCCTGGGCCCGCAAAGGGCCCGCGAGCACTGAAATCTGAAAAAAAAAAAAAAACAAAAAATCGGCGGCTGTCCGAAACAGACACACAGACGGAGATCTGGGTCATCTCCTCCTCCGACTTCTGCGCCAACTCGGGCTCCCATGTCATCTTGCTGGTTCCTGCGAATTGACGCTAACCGACGCTGCTCGACACTAGTCGATTCTGATCGACGCTGAATCGACACGAATCGACGCTATATCGGAGCGCTCTCATCGGCTACCAAGAGCCAGCGCACACTCAAAAACGGAATGTCGATGACCAAACCATCTCACTTCCCCCCTCGGCGCGCCGCCGAAGAAGCTCGAACCATTTTTTCTTGCGTGAGGCACAAACTGCGTCGCTGGCATGCTCAAGCCTGACGGCGTACAGTTTGGTCAGAAGGCGCAATTCCATTGGAAAACAGATCGAGCAGACAAAATGAATCCAAACTCTAATCGGATTCCTTGGTGAGCAGGGATCATCAGTTCCTGGTGACGCGCCTGGCGCTGCGGTGCAAACAAGCCCCAACTGCCAGGAACATCAAAACAGTACCACACAACGAGCCGTGAGACACGTGCTGCTGGCACGACGCCCTGGCATGGTCTTCACGCCGAGGGTGGCCAGAAATGAAACGTAACAGATTGATAAAACGCGTGCGATCGGCAAAGTCCGATGCGCTTGCCCTGCGCCAATGATCGAGGCTCTGCGGGCGCGGGGCTGTTATGAACGCCCCTGGCGCAAGCTGTCGTGCCTGAGCGCCACATCGCTCCTCGACTCGGTCGTGCAGAAAAACTGCCTCCGCTCGGGAATGCAATGATCAGTGCACCGCGAAGCGTCACGACGTTGGGTGTAAACAGGACGTATCTGAAATACATGCACGTATGCATCACTAGGGGCACATGTTGGAGCGAGCCGCGCAACAGCCCGGAACACTCACGAGCACACACGCTGGCACTCATGGGATGGTTGGCGTTACCTCGTGCACAGTGAACTTGACACCGAAGAAGCTCGAATCATGATGCCCGTATGTGTAGATATACATTCACGTACATCATGATCATACAACATTGACCAAACAATAACATAAAGCAACAAAACATCCACGGACAAACAAACAAACAGCAAACACTTTGAAAATGATACAACATACTGGCAATCACAAGCACATACACGGACAAACAGACAAACAGACAAACAGACAAAGACAAGCACAGACTGGCGAAACAGCAAGCAAATACCTACATCATTATAGTAAACCCCGGCATCCCTGGGCGGCACGTCACCCAACCTCGCGCCTCTGGGCCCCACCCGGACGGCGTCTGGGCCGGCTTCTCGGAGCTGCGCCCGGCCGTGGCCGCACTGAGCATCCCCCCCCTCTCTAGAGGCCTCCTTTATGGAGTCCGAGCAGATTGGGTCGGAGGATGGCGCCGCATCGCCGATGCATCGGCCATGTCGGCGACGCAGCAGCGACGTCGGCGTGGAGAAAATCGGGCCCCACACCGAGCCGCGTCGCCGATGCATCGGCGATGCGGTGCGATCCTCCGACCCCATCGACTCCTTCGGTAGTCGTCGGCCCCTGGGGCCCTCGCCGTGCCCTGGGGCCGCCACAGCTACTCGGAGGAGGAGCCGGCCCCAGGGAAAGGGCCGCGCACGGACAAAAGCTGACAGGGGCAGCCGGTCCGGAGACGGTGGACGGGGCAGGAGGGGGCGGCGGCCCGAGGGGCAAGGCGAAGGAAGGGAGGCTGATCCTAGCGTCTGCCTAGGGTTGCTTCGGGGTGACGGTGACCATTGGCTGGGGATGTGACTGCGCGGATGCTGGCAAAATGTTGACATAAATTGGGCACGGGGCAGGGCCTGTCACCTCCGCCTCAGCGCGCCTGGTGCCCATTGCCTGAGAGCGTGACTGCACGGATGCTGGCAAAACGTTGTCATGCGAGGGGCACGGGGCAGGGCCTGTCGTCTCCGCCTCAGCGTGCCTGATGACCATTGCCTGAGAGCGTGACTGCACGGATGCTGGCAAAACGTTGTCATGCGAGGGGCACGGGGCAGGGCCTGTCGTCTGAGAGTGTGACTGCACAGATGCTGGTAAAACGTTGTCATATGAGAGGGGCACGGGGCAGGGCCTATCACCTCCGCCTCAGCGTGCCTGAGAGCATCGTCAGGTTCGAAAAAGAAACGTGCGCAGGCCTGAACATCAAAGTGCAGGTTTCCACCTGCCAATATGGAGTGCCCCCGTGCGTGTCAATTGGAAGCGGACGAGGGGCTGGGCATTCTGTACTGCAGCCTAGCCCGCTCGACATGTGAGACTCGATCTCCCACGTGCAACTCTCGCTTGTAATCGGCAATCTGTACGGCAGCTGCACGTCATAATTGAAAGGCTGGGCGGCCAGCATGCATGGGTGTGTCCCATTCAGACTCTCATGGTTCATGGGTCCATGCAAACTCCCGACGCGGTTCCGCCTGCCCGCCTTCGGCATATCCAGTTGCGTCGCCAGCCCTGGGCATATAACGGCCGGACGGTCGACGAGCTGCGACGTTCGCGGATAGTCAGCCTTACATAACTTAGGGTTATCCTTCCGACGACGCGCTGGCAAGGGCACCCTCTCCCCCGTCTCTGGGTTCTCCAGATGCACGTGGTGCTGCTTCCGTTCTTGGAGGTACTGCACATCCCCGTCGAAGTATCTCCTTTCCCACGCACGCGCTTCCGCCGCCTCTTCCTGCTGCGCAATGCCCTGCCCCGCCCTGCTCGTCTGATGCGTCGGGCGGCGCACCAGCCCGGCCTCATTCTTGCACTCTGGCCACGCAACCTCCGCTCTTGCCAGATTCTTCTGAAGCTCGTCTGGCGCGACGCGCGCTGAGTACTCCTGTCGGCAAACCCGGCGCTTGTACTCCAACGACTCTTTTACAAACGCTCGCCCCCGTCCTTCCGCACTGTCCCGGGCGAGTTCGAAGATGTTGTCCAGCGGCGTGTGCTGGTGCAAACACTGTGCGAACACCTGACAGTGCGCGCGCAGCGCCCCCGTCGACTTTTGCGCTTCGATGGAGACATAGCACGCGTCCACCCTGCCGAACACCCCACCTTCCGGCGCGGCGTTGCTGCCGAACAAGTCCCGGCACGGCGACATTCGCTCACTATGGTTGCATCCGGGGCAGTTCGGGCACACGCGCACACCGAAAAGATGCCGCATCGTCGCATCCACGATCACACGAAAGCCTTCCACGCTCGCCATCGGATCCCGCGCCAGTACCTTCCTGCGCTCCGCCCAAGGTGGCACTCGCGACAATATCGCTGCCACCGGCAGTTCCGGGCGCACATCATCAACTTCTGGAGCGATCAGCGGCCACTCCCGACTACCAGCCGCTCGCGACGCACCTGGGTCGCTCTCCGCACGGTGGGCGGGGTCACGACGACGCGTGCGCGACAACCGTACCATGACCAGATTTTGGCTTTCATCGGGGGAGAAGGTCACGAAAATCGGTACACCATACCGTACGCGGAGCGCGTTGGTTTCGAACCGCATGACCCGTCGTGTCTCCTGCGTCCCCGGTAGCCGTCGAGAGGTGTGCTCGACGTTCGCAGGCAACTTGCGGGCAGCTCTGCCGAGCCCTGGGACGTAGCGCACCTTCGTCATGTCCCCCATGACCTTCTGTTTCTGACCTTTCACGTCCTGGTACTTCCCCGCCAATGCACGGTAGATCTGCTTCGCCCCTTCGCTGATCTCCTCGGGCGTGATTTGCGCGTCCACGTCCTTCGGGTTCGCGGACACGTACGTAAACCACGTCCTGCTCAGGTTCACCGCCGAGCGAAATACCAAGTTCCACGACGCGAACCCGAAATGCCAATCGCGCGCCAACTGGCTCTCCACGCGACGACTCATGATGCGAACCCGCAGCGGCAGCTCCACCCGCGGCGCCTCGTCCGAACGCGGATGCCGCGGTCGCTTCAAGAACGCAAGCATGTCGGGCACGCCTGTGCAATACTTGACAACGAACGCAAACGCGACGCCGAAATACCACGGCTCGAATTGATCCATCATTGTGTTCCCCGCGCAGACCCGCAATCGATTTACTCGTTCGTTCATCTCCAGCGCCTGCGTCGCCAATCGCACCTCCTCCCTCTCCTTCGCTGGCGCGATGTCTGGTTCTTCTCCTCGCCCGCCTTCGCGCGGGCGCTTCGCTCGGGGACCTTCAGGATCCGACTCACTCTCGCTGTCATCCGCGCGCTCGCTGGCTCCATCTCGTTCGCATTATGGCGACACCCTCCGTGCAAAACTTCGCAAGGCTTCCACGCGCTGGGCATTGATACCCCCGTCATCGAAGCTGCTCTTGTCGAGGGCCACG